AGTTGTAAAAAATTTTGCGCGACATTGCACTAATGAACACCCATTAAGTTTTGAACAATATGATGCCGCATTAAGACAGTTAAAAGAAAAATGTACAACTAAGCGTTCAGCACTAGCAGCAACCAATCCACTTGATTAGCTTAAAACATGCAGTTACTCAGAAAAAAATTTTGGTTCAAAAATGCGTTACTCAATAAAAAAATTTAGTTACCCAGCAGACTCTCCACCCCCTAATCGATAACACTGAACTTCTATATAGCACGGAAATCCACAAAACAAATTGGTGGTTTTGTCGTCAACGAATCTTGCCACTTCAGACAAGAATCTTTAACGAAAAAAGACGAAAAGTCAATAAATTAAAAGAAGAATCTTAGACAAGAATCCCCGCAAGATCGCCGACCAGTGCTGATCAATGTCTGTTTCTTAGAAAATGTCAAGGCCAGTCAAAGATTTACTGTTTATCTGATCAGTAGAAAAAACAGATTTTCTTGACCTGTTCTTATTACTTTCTTGGTCTAGTCTTGCAGCTGATTAGGACAAGAAAGTAAAAACAGGAAACAGACAACTGTAAGTAAATAAGTCTGTACCCTGTTTTCAAGGCTGGATAAACTGAACATTCTCTAGGGTTGTTTAGACTGGACATTTCTATACTTTTAAAGAGGTTTAATGGTTCACACATTAATTTAAGCCAAACAATTGCTCATTTGAACGAAGATCGCTATTAGTTTTATTAACAAAAGTACAGAATTATTGATTCAGGTAAAAAAATATCAAAAAGAAAGACTAGAGTGTATATGCTGACTATTTGCGATATAAAATTCTAAACAAAAAATACGTTTTTTATCTGACTGACATACCTAAAGAAGAAGAAAAAACAATGATACATTTGTGAAATGAAATATTTTTCGTTAAAGTGCGACTTACCAGCTCGCTTTAATCCATATAACAAACATCTGTTTGAACAATAACGTTCTTGTAATGGAACAGCAAATGTTTGGTTCATATCTGTATGAACCGTGATACCATTCATTGATAGTTGTTTTGGTACAACAATTTCACCATAACGTGTTAAACAAGGCAGTGCACAATGCGTGCACAATTCATAATTAACCAGTACTTCACATAATGATTTTGGTAAACAATTCATATCATAGGGTATTCTAAATAGAATAAATAAATTGATATAGTAACATTTTGAAAAGGCTTATCAGTATGTATATCTGCTACAACGAATAATATGTTGTCAGCTATTGGATAATAAAATCCTTCAGAAATTAACAAAAGAAAAACCAGTCAGAAAATCCAAATGTATAATTTGTCAACATTGTTTGACTAACACTTATCATTGCAAACAATTTATTTATTATCTTCTACAACACTCTTAATTTAAACACCAGTAAATATAAATACAGTACAATCTTGTCCAGGGAAATGTTCGATCGAATGATTAAATCTTTTTTGTTAAAAACAGTTACTTTTCAAGAGTGATTCGTCAAGCTATAAGAATACCTATGGACATTGATTCTGGTCCCTAATTATTTGTTCTAATTCTTAGCTAATAAGTTATGATATTACTTCATGAATCAAAACTAGATGAGCTTTTCTTTTACCTATTTTTGATGATAGTTCTTAATGCTAATTCAACCAATGTTATATTGAAATTTTTGTACAAAACACATTTGTCCTTCATTAGTGGATTACCAGAATAATTTAATGTATGTAGTTTTCGATTTCGGCTGCTAAATGAATTTGGTATCGAACGTATTTGATTATGACTAATATTGAGTGTTTGTAAATTTGATAAACATCGTTGTAACTGTTTTGGAATATAACTAATTTGATTATTAGATAAATTTAATTTTTCTAAGGATGTTAGTTTCAATATGGTTAAATAAATTTTATCCAAGAAATTATGGGATAAATCTAAATAACGTAATTTTGGACATATCATTTCATGAAAACAATTTAATTGATTATTCGTGCATATAAACGTATGTAAATGATCAAAATGAATTCGTTCAGGTAATTCAGTGATAGTATTATGACTTAAATCTAAATAATGTAAATGTTTCAAAGTGAATATACGATGATCAACAGGAGTACGTAACGATGAATTGTTAATAATTAATTTTTCTAACGTAGACGGAAAACCTTTTAATTGTGGAAATTCTTTAGCATTTGAAATTTCCATTTGTGTTGTTGGACGTTGAATTTTGACTACTTGATCAACTGTTGTTGATTTAACAGTAGATGGTAAGTCAAGACCATTTGATGTTACACGTATACCAGATAAAAATGTTTTTAACGATTCAACATTTGCCTACGATACAAGAAACAATATACAATGTGAGATTCATATCTACATATAAATAGTTCCACCTCCATTATGACAAAATAAAATTGAAGGTTGATGTTGACACTTACTTCAGATAACTGAATATCATGTGGCGGATCTTTAAACTGAATTGTACATAGACCATCGTTTACACATCTGTTTAATACGGTTTGAACATTATCACGAATCTAAAAGTAGAATTGAAAGTAGAAATACGATCGATTTGTTTGACTCTTACCTTATATCGTTTAACAACATTATCTTTGTATAAACGTATAATAAATACCCATTCATCTGATTTCGATAAACCAATAACACCTCTGGATGATTTCGTCTTTGCTGAAAAACCATTCGATACATTTTTACGATCAATCACCCGAACTTTACATTCAAGTTTCATTTTATGATCTATAATCAGACGAATGTAAATAAAATGTTCATCAAATTTCTGAAGAAGAAACTCGGATAGACGTCATCTTTACCTTTGGTAATTAGAGTATATGAACGAATAAGAAAACGGGCTTAAAGAATATGTGGATTCATCGCCCAATCTTCTATCTTATTAGATCTAATATGTCTTATCATTGCTAGGGTCACAAAGTGAGTCAGAAGTATTACATGGCTATAAGAAAATGTTTGCTTCGAAAAAGTATGAACATTGAATAATTTGGTAGTGTTGTGCTGCATAAAAACGAAAGATTCTGATTATTACATTAGTAGACCCTTCTCTAGTTGAATAAAGAAATCCTTATTCTTCTTGTCTTCTTCCTCACATACTTTTTCCTTCTTTGCCTCTTATTTTTCGTGCTTTTCATCTGTAATGGTTATATCATTTACCGTGTCATTCTCCTCTGATATAATGGCCTATTCTAATGACTATTCTTATTTCTCTTTCTTGAATGAATAAAGTTTAAACTAAACTAATGAAGCCCTTCTGACAAAAGAAGCCCTCCTCCCTGTTATCTTTTTTTTAATTCAAATATTTTCCGTTTTGAATAACATATGCTTCATCAAAATTTGATTTATGATGAATACTCAAGCACACTGTTTGTGTGAGTATTTTAAAATAAAATTATTCTTTAGAAACAAAAATCTATATAATAAAAAAATATAAAAAGAGAAAAAAACGAGTTAGAGCTATTTTGTACATAAAAAAGCATTTGTTTTAAAGTTGTCTTGATCTCTCTATTAAACAAAAATCACTGTAAGAACAAGAAGAAAAACAACGATTGTTCGACACAAAATAAAAACTGGAAAATTGAGAAAAAAAAGTAACCGGGTTTACTCTTTATACTCTTTATTCTATTTGTTTTTTGATTTATTTTTTTTAATTGACAAAAAAAAATGTTTGCCATTTGATTACACTTTGAGTATTGTTTATTTTTGTTATTTATTTCTGTTAATGCCGACTTTTAATGGTTGATTGTGCAACATGTCCAACAAGATAAATATTATCGTACAAATGGCCAGCTAATTCATCATTTAAACCATTTACAGCACGTCTGGTGTTTCGGATAAATTCGCGTTTTGACATTTTATTTTTAACATGTGGACTGGCTAAATCAATTGATAGCAGAATAAGAGAAAAGCACAAAACATAAATTGTCTCTAAAATTAGACGAAAAAAAAGTATTTGTAATTTGAAAACAGTCTGCAAAGATTGTATTGTATATCTGATTAGAACATTACAGTTATTAATATATTCAGTGAAAAGTATATTAACATTAGGCATTATTCTGTTACATATGCCACAGGACACACTTTAGTGTATCTTAATTCTGATTGATTTTAAACGAGTCTCGCATGCGGGCCGTATCACGAAAAAACTTAAGTCACCGACTTAAACCGTATCACGAACAAGACCTAAGCTGGCGATTTGTTTACTTTTTAAAAGTCGTTGACAACAGTGACAAACTTCGGATAAAAACTCGCAAAATAACGAAATATTTATTCTCTAATCGTTAGAATGTCGTTTTCGTCGAATCGTATCGTTAAATGCTTGAGCTATTCGAAAAATGTATTAAGGACTTAAGTTTTCGGTCTTAACTTTAAGACTACATTTCCCGTGACTTAAGTTTTTTTGTGATACGACCCCCTGTTGTTTTATGATATTTGTTAACTCAAAATATACTTATAAAACGAATAAATTTTGTTAAAACGTTTCGTCACCTGCCGTTAAACCAAGTTCTTTGTTACATTCATAAAATCTTTTGGAAAAATTTTCAATTAATATACTTAAATATTCATTTCTTTCTTCAGGAGCATCTAATTTTGCAAAAAAATTTCTTAATGCATTTGGTAGAAATTGATTTTCATACGATTGTAATTCAATTAATCTTTCTAAGATATCCCGTCTAAAATGTAAAACATTCGCAATGATTAAAATAAAAATTCTAATCAATCTTTAGTTACCGATTTTGCAACAATTTTCGTTTTTCAGTGGTTTTCAATTTTCTTGTGTTATGGATAAATTTACTTATTTCTAGAGCGTTATCATCAATTAGATTGTGTTCGATAAAATAATGTAAACCCTACAAACGTAATCTGCATGAAAAAGAGTTAATAAATTATAACAGTTTTTAACATACCTGTGCATAATTGGCATTGAAAGTTAACGTACCTTCGTCTAATGCCAAATAGATTCGTCGAAATGAAATACCTTCACGATGTGCTCGTGAATAAATTGACGCATAGGTCCAGTTTGATCTACACAATCTAGGACATTACAGAAGTTTATCTAACAAATTGCCGTTTGGTATACAATATCGATTTTCTCACCCTAGCCACAATATTTCATCATTCGCCAATGTTTGCCATACGCACGCCGCCAAACATAAATCAGTCGCATTAAGATGTTTCAATATATTCAAACTCAATTCTGGTGGTAACTCAAACAAATCGGGAAATTTTGAAACTGAAAGAAGGGACCTTCAGTACAATCGATTTTAGTGAAAACTAATATATGCGAACCTTGAGTGCTGCCCTGTAATGGATCTTTTAGTCGTTCTAAAATTAGTCCCATTTGTACGATAATTCTCAGTTCAAAACCTTTTGGAAAAATAAATGGTTTTTAGATTAATAAGTAAATACACTTCTGTTCTGCAGCTTTTATCGATAATGAAGTGAAAGTGTTGCACGCTAGCAGTGCTTGTCCACAAGATGATGTTGCTGGCATGCGCACATATGAAAACACTATCAAAATAAATAAATAAATTCTTTCTTTCTTTCTTTCTTTCTTTTCCTTCAGCTAAACATAACAAATTCTGATTTTTTAACTGGTTCTTCAGAATAGCGAATCGACCCTAGAGCCATTTATGCTATATAAGTTATAAAGCTGATGGGAATGAATTAATTATATTCTGCAGTGCTTCTAGCTTTCAGCTTCTTTCTACTGCACTTTTTTTTCTATTTGCCATATCCTCGAATGCACTTGTGATCTGCTCGCGTGAATACTGGCGTTGATTCTTGCGCTATTCTTGTACTTTTAATATGCATAGAGAATTTCCGAAGTAAGGGTATATCAATTGCGCAAAGTATGAAGGGTATTACATTTAAAACATATCAAAGAACCTAAATGTAAGAAACATCGTCGTCAGTGACAAAGGAAAAAAATTCTAATTCGTTTGGTAGTTAAACTTAACGAATCAACTTTTAGTTTTTGTCTCGTTGGGTATATTGTACTGTCAATAGAAGAGCAAAACATTAAGTGTTGCAGTGGCAAAGTGTCCGTGATCTGGTGCCCGCAGTGGCGGGTCAGAGTTTGTTTTTTTGGTGTGGCAATTGCCACACCTTGCTATCACGTCGGCCCGCCACTGGGTGCCCGAATGATCAGCGGTGATGCCTGCTGGACATGTGACTTTAGTCAATGACAATTTACCGTTCTGGCAAAAAAATAGAGTAATATAACCTTAGATCAAAGAATCACCAATTTCAAACTATCATAATATTCTACCAATGCTTAATCTGAAGTTGATATTGCTTTTCTTAACGTGACAATGAATGATCATCGGTCAAAATCATCTTTTGGACGGTCATCCGAGTGTGGAGGGAAATCCCCACTTTCGCCCTCGAATATTTTCAAATTTTCTTACTTTCTTTCTATTATGGTCTTCGTGGTAGACTCCTGCGAGGCAGCTCGGAGTCCCGTCCCCTGGGACAGACGCGGTCGGGACAAAAAAAATATACGGGCTTGGGCTCATTGGCTGGGGGCAAGAAAAAAATTTCGCGGGCTCGGCCTTAGACTAGACTAAGACTGTTTTATTCACGAAAAGTTAACGAAGCTTACAGGATAGAGACAAGTTGTAGAAAAATTGTTGTCCCGTAAGCTTTTTTTTTTGATTGTAATTATACTGCAAGTTCAAATGTTTAATTCTTGTAATGTCGAGTGACCCAGAATAAATGGCCCTCGTCGTATTTTGCTTATAATTTCTTTTCTTTTCAATCCTTAAATCTGATTGTTTTTCCAAAAGATGCGCCGTCAAATTTTCTACAAGACTTAATCAAACTTATATCTATAAAAAGTTAAGAAGAAAAATGAAATGAAAAATACTCAACACGATGAAGAGGACCAACTTTCTAAGCCGAAATAACGTTTTGTTCCATCACTTTCATTGAGTTGGATGAGAAAAAGAAAATACACGCATTTTGTAGCCATTGAAAAGCTCTATCAACCAGTATTAGATGCACAATGCAAAATCAAATGTTTGAGGCTTACATCGATTTTCTCCTCTTCAAGGCTTTGCAAAATTTGTAAAACAAAATAGCTTAGAAAGCTGGTCCTTTTCGTCATGTTAAATATTTTTTGTTTCATTTTTCTCCTTAACTTTTTATAGATATAAGTTTGATTAAGTCTTGTAGAGAATTTGACGGCGCATCTTTTGGAAAAACGATCAGATTTAAGAATTGTACTATATTCTGTTATTCCCTTTCTTTTTATTATTGTTATTATTTATTATTTGCTTACTAGACAGGTTAAGCGTAACGGGACTCCCACTCTCTTTTGATCTGTCATAGCTTCCAGTGTTTGATGAATAAAGAAAAAGTTAATAAAAAACAGATTTTTGAGTTGGGATGATCCCCAATTTGAAGAACTACAGCTCATAGAGAAGCAATTCAAGCTCAGTCCTAAAAAAGCTTATTTATTATTACGCCTCTTTGAGTTAGTTTTTATTAGTTATTATAAAATTACGGTTTTGATCACCCGATACTTGATTGGCGAAATAGTCTGGATTTAAACTTGACAAGATGGTCCACATCCAAAACTAGGTTTACAGTGCTTTCCTTTCGATTCTGAGCTAGTGAGTGGATGTAAAACATTTTTTTATACCACCAACTTTTAAGTTTAGAATCAAATAAATTAGGCTTAATTTTATCATGCGGAGTTTGTGCAAAAATGAGTTTGAGACTGTAACCGTCTCTTGAAACAGTTACGGTTTATTACAACAGAAAAAAATTTTCAAAAAATTATAGGATGGACGGGATAAAAAGCCCGTAACTTTTTTTCACGGACAGACGTAGTCGGGACAACATTATTTGCTCACGGGATCCGACTTACCGAACGGGACAAAAATTTTTCTGTTTGAGTTCGGGCACGGGACAACAAAAAAGTCTGTCCCGCAGGACTCTATTTCGTGGGACATAGAGATTAACCGTCAAGGGGTAATAATATTTGTAGAAACTAATTCAAAAAAATCTATAACTTTTCTATGATATTTTTCGAGTATTTAAGGATAAGTGCCTATATGAACGCACAATAAATCCGGTTTATTTTTTTATGACGGCACAGCATACCGGTACTAGAAAATTCATTCCACAGCATGCGTTGCTAGGAAAAGTAGCTTCAAGGTGATTAGATAAGAAACAACGGGTTGTTTGTTTGTGTTTCTTTAACCCAATTAAGTCGCACGCAGATTCCTAAACTGATTATTTTGCATGTGTAACGGAGAAGAGCAAAGTATCTGCGTCTTTGCGCCAGAAAAGTCGACTTTTTTGATTGCATGAAGTAATCAATTAAAGTGTATACGTTTTAGGTTCGAACGATAAAAGAAGGCTTTACGGGATTTTGAGCTGATTTTTAAAGTCCTCCATACGGGAGCCTTTTTTGCAGTTTTTTTGGAAAGCTGAAAACTATTCTATGAGATTGTCTGTGAATGGCTCATTTGAACCATGTATGGTTCCACCATAGCTATCTTTGTATTATTCGGGATAAATATATTGTTTAAATATTTCTTGATTTCTTAAACAAGGATGGAAGGCAATATGAAAGTTCAAAATAGTCTTAGGAGTGCGACAGCGCACACGAACACCATGATTCACTTATTTATACCGAGAGATAAAAAACAAGCAGGCTTTCGTTGTGGTGAAGGACACTCACCTTCCTGAACTCGAAAATAAGTTTTTTTAGGACTGAGCTTGAATTGCTTCTCTATGAGCTGTAGTTCTTCAAATTGGGGATCATCCCAACTCAAAAATCTGTTTTTTATTAACTTTTTCTTTATTCATCAAACACTGGAAGCTATGACAGATCAAAAGAGAGTGGGAGTCCCGTTACGCTTAACCTGTCTAGTAAGCAAATAATAAATAATAACAATAATAAAAAGAAAGGGAATAACAGAATATAGTATACGAGATGGAAAAGAAGAGAAAGAGTGACAAAAGTACATAATAAAGGTAGTAAAAAGAGATATTATAGTTCATTATGTTGTTGTTATAATTATTGAATCTTTTCTACCATCATAATAAATTGAGAGAATTTAAGATAAGAAAACAAAGACAAAGCAGCCAACCTAGAGCAGGCGACACTACAAATTTACTTTAACGAAACTAGATGAAATTCGTTCTTTCTTGTCACATCATTTAAAACTAATGACATCTCAAACAGAAGTACGGAGAGACTTTTGTTTTTGGTTTTCCTTTAATTTTTGTATTTTTGATAAGCATTAAATAGATAGATAAAGATGGAATGACAACAAATTTCTTTACACGAAAGGACATGAAACGACTGTAGAAACCGACAGAGGCAGTTGACTCGATAAAGGGGAAAATTTTAGCACGTACTAGTTTTCAGAAATATCATTGCTTTCTCAAATAAAGAGTGCTTTTAGAAAAATATGGAGTGTTAAAAATGCGCTTTTTTTCCATACTCTTTCATATTTTTATTATTTTGACCAAAATAACTCTTTGGGGGGGGGGCGCGGGGGG